GCCCTAACCCCCGAAGGGGTCTCTGGGCGGTTCACATTTAGTTGTTCTAAGAACTGCGTTTCCTATCTAGGGCCACATCTAGAGTTGGGGGTGGGGCTTCCTACCGGCACCCTTGATGGTGTATGTGCTTCCTTCTTACTTCCATCGGCAGGCTCGGCATCTAGATCGATCCTCGGCTGCTGGCGCGGCGTCCTTTCCAGGCTCCCGATCTTCCTCTCTCCGGCCACCACGGCAGCTCTGCACCGGCACACGGCTTCCTGCACGCTCCCGGCCAGCTTCGTCCGTCAGGCACCGCCATGCCTGCGTCATTTGTCGTGCGCCTCCAGGGTACTGCCGTCGCCGCCCGATGTCGCTAGGTGTTTCCTTCGGCCACCAGGGATCCCTCTGCTCCGCACTGCCCTCAGCTCTGCTAGCACTCTCTGCCGCCGCCGCCATGCCGCCATCCATCATCCTCTGCACCGCCACGCGATCTGCACATCCATCATGCCTCTTCCGTCAGAGGTGGGTGCCCCCTACCCTTCTAAGGGCAGGTACCCATTCGTCTACTTGCACTAAGTGTTACTTGGCTTTCGACCCGCTGGGTTGGCGGGAGCTGGGATAAAGGCCGGGAGCTCACTCCGGCCACGGTGGTATTCGAACAGCCGCAATGGCTGCTCTTAGTTGTTAAAGCAGGCGTTTTACCGCCTGCACCACCGCATTGTTCTCTTTCTCTCCATGTTGTTCTCACAACAACCCTTTGAAGGAGGTTAGACTGAAACTGCTATCAAGCTTCCATGGCAGGAGTGAGGATTCAAACCTGGGTTTACCCATATCCTGGCCCACCTTCCAAAGCTGCCAAACCCCCCCCCCCCGTGTCTGATGTGCCTTCCAGCCAGGGTTCACAGATCAGCGGCACTTTTAGTGATGAAGATGATGAAGAGTCACAGCAGACTATCATGGGAAATACACAGGATGGTGAAGAGGGAGATTGGAGAAGGAGGGAGAGCTGGTGAGTGTAGGGATACCAGCAAATCAGGAAGGGGGAGGGAGGGAGAGCTGGCAAGTTCCTGCAAATTAGAAAAAGGCAGCAAATCAGGAAGCAGGCAGGGAAAAGTGTGTGGTGCAGTCTGACTTTACAAATGAATTAAAAATTAATTAAAAATATTTCTTGTGGGGCCTTGCTGACACGTGATGGGGCCAGGCCCTGAGGGGCCCCACTGTAGCTAGGGGCCTGCATACAGAAGAAAATAAACTGATTCCACAGCTGTGAAAATGCACAGGGAGGCCAGACGTGTGGAAGAGCCATGCCCACACTGATTCCAGTGCTTGTGGATTAACTGCCAAGAAAATCAGTAGTAAGTCAAGCATGAAGAAAAGGTCTGAGATTAAAAGCAGTTGACAAGCGGATGCAAAATGGGCATGTTCTTCATTTCCAAAGGCATCAGTCCAAAAGAGACTCCCTTTCATGTCCAAAGAGTGTATGAACAGGTAGAATCTGCATTTTAAGTCTGCACATCTTTCAAGCACACTTTCCTCTTTGGACATTACAGTAAAAGCATAAGGGGAGGTAGTTCCTTGCTCTTCTTATGTACAATTGCTTTCCTGGTGTTTGCTATAACACTAGAACTTGCACTCTGTTTCACAAAACAATACAGTCACAAAAACATGGTCTAATTTCAAATATTGCGAGAGACATGAACACAATAGGTGATCCCAAAACTGGGTCTTTTTTCATACTTAGAGAAGCCTGTGAATGTATATTTCAGCACACAAACCTCTTCTCATGGCACTCTGGGTCAATGTCATATTTTTTTTCTCCGTTGAGAAAATAAATATGAATATTATGCTTTCCCCAAAAATGGTTTATATGCAGCATCAGAACTGAATACAGCTATATGTTCAGATTTTATATCTCAAAAAATGGAAGACCCCTCCCCGAAGAAAAAAGAATGGATAAACTTGGAAAGTAAAGAATTCCTTCTGCAAAAAGGATCCTCACATTGTTTAGTGGACTTTGGACCTCAAATTATTTGAAAGTGTTTGATCAGTGCACAAGTATGTACTGGTAATAGAGAAGGGGCAGAAGTACAAATGAATGGAAGAAACTGAAAACTATAGCAAACCATGCCAATTTAAAAATTAATGTTATAAATTCTCCTAGTTAAACTGGAATTAAAGAGGGGTGAAACTCAAGGGAAAGCAAACTTTCAAAACAATAAAATCCAGCACAAGGGGATCCACTCATTCCTAACAGTGAACTGTTTTCTCCAACTAAGTACATTTGTGCAAGGAACATGTGGATTGTCAAAACTAAATAAGAATGCTTGTGGTAAAACAATAAACAGGAGTATCTCTCTAATTGGAAACAGTGAGTTTGTTTAGTTCAGTTCCATCATCTCTTCTGGGTCATGAGAAAGAGAATTTGAATATAAACTTCCAAAAGAAAAGAAATTCTTCCCTTACAGAGACTTGTATCCAGTCTTGTCTGGGAATGAGAAACTACACATGGAAGTTTGGGTAACAGATACCCCTGAGTACTTAAACTTGCTTCATATGTGGTTATGTTCTGATGGAATAACTTTGAGCTTGTTTATCTTTTGGTAACCTTTGCATATAGTTCCTTCACTATCTGTTCATTGTTGATTGCATATTCTAACATGAAAAGATGACCATTCCATTTTGTCCTTTGGGGATTATTTTAAAGCATAATTTGTTACTGCAAGCAGATTATGAACCCTAAAATTGGAAAAATGGTCTCACATTCAAATTGCTTTACTGCATTACAGGAATGTTTGTCCAGTTGTCACTAATCAGGCACTTTTAGTCTTACATTATGGTCTCACAGGCACTTCTAGACAAGCAGAAGCTGCCTCTAGGAAAGTAGAAATTGAATCTGAATCAGGAAATCAGTAACACAAGTACTATTGAGATAGATCAAGATGGGCAGCTGTGTTAGATTGTTTGTAGCAGTAGAAAAGAGTAAGAGTCAGGTAGCACCTTAAAGACTAACAAAATTTGTGATAGGGTATGAGCTTTTGTGAGTCACTGCTCACTTCTTCAGATACAGTTAGAATGTGAGTCCATCTGTTCTATATATTGGGAAGTGGAGTGATTTCAGATGCCAAATGACATTAGCAGGCAAATGACAATAGAAGGTATGATTAGGTGTGATATGCAGAGAAGTAGTAGGCATGGAGAAAACAGCATTGGTAATGAGACAGGAAACCTAGGTCTTGATTCAATCCAGGTGGATGCATTGTCTTGAGCTTTGCTATCAGATGTTGTTATTAACTTCTTTTATAGTCTGCCTTACCCACTGAGGCTCAAGGCAGATTACAAAATCTGGGGAGAATCTGCACTTCAATCAAAGAGCAAGTGAGTTACAAAATATAAAAACAATTCAAGCACCAAAGATTTCCAATAAACAAAATGATGTCGGCAAACAACTCTAAGGCATCAAAACTGTCTAACGTTTGAAATATCATACTGAAAAGAGGGTTAAAATGGTTACAAAGGATAATGAATTTTAATAAAAGGAGGGGTGTGATATGTACAGTAATCAGTGCAATACTCTCTAATAGTATTTTACAAAGAAGCAATCTCCTGAGCTGATCATTATGCTATAGTTCTGATCCCTTTATATCCTGAAGACGTCTGTTTTACACATTCTGTGAAGTGATAGAAGCATGGGGGCCTTACTGATAGCTTCAGGCAGACCATTGCATTAGGCTTGCCAGTTTGTACACCATGGTTCCATGGCAGGCAATCTCCTGGCCCAGTCTCCTGATCCCCACCGCTGCCCTTCAGCAAGAGCAAAACTGAGAGCTGAAAAGCAGTATTCCAACATCAATTCCAATTGTGACATCATGACACTCTAGCAATGTTCCAAATGGATTTACCATAGAGATTGGAGAATTCCTAGAGCATGGTTCCATCACTCCAGGTACAACTGGAAATGATGTGATTTTGTGCAACATCTCTCCCACACCCCAATTTTTATTCCCACTGGAGTGAACCCTACACTCAGTCCTTATATGAAACATAGGGAATGTGAGTTTACAGAATATCCAAAATGATTAAAATGAGAGGAGCTGGTGTATTAAGTTACAACGCATGTAGGAAAATAGGGAGATACAGGGAGATACAGAGTTTATTAAACATTGGCAATACAGTTTCAGAAATAGGAGGAAGAACTGGGCAAGTGCTTTATCTCCAGCAAGGCAACTGCTTCCCCCTCCTCACCTTTCCCTGTCTGTGATATATGAGCAGAGCAGCAGAGCACCTGGGGGAAGGAGGCTAAGGAAGGAAAAATCCAACTTTCAGAAGTTTCTTCTATGTACATGCATTGACAGACAAATGAGATAAACTGGGGAAGGGAAACACAGACGTTAAAGAACAGATTTTCCCCCAATGTGTTTTGCTTCCTCTAGCAGTCCCAGAGGGAGCAAAACACATCTGGAAAAGGGGGGGGGACCCAAAGCAATAGGGAA